TATGGATAGGGTTCAGTAAAAATGCGGTAACGTCAGCGCGGATGTTCAGAATTCTTGTCAGTTTTCATGTAGTTCCAGAGCCTAATAAAGTCTTATTCGAGCTACGTGAAAACAAACAACTGAGCATGCGCAGGCTACGAGCATCAGCGCCGATGATTGACACCCTTGGCATCACTTGGTTGTTAACGTGGAGCATCATGGATTCTGAGCTATAGCTCAGAGAAGGAATGCGGGACTTTACCTGTAATATTTAGAATTCATAATATGAGTTGTTTTGTATCAATATTTTATGGCCATGAGGTCAAGTTAAATACAATTCCTTAAAATGTGTAATCATTTTGGAGTTCCAGACTATCCGTTTAACAGAACACAACTAATGATTATAGACACATCTGTTTTGCTTATTACCATGTGGTGCGTTCAGGTGCATGGTTTCCATTGGCCCGATGAAAGCGTACGCATGCCCAGTCCCTCTACATCACCAGATCCACGACTTTTGAACCGAGAATCACCCCCTCCTCGCAAAACACAACCACACATCTGTCCACTCCTCGCATGTCCGAACACTGGTTTATCCTTCATAGTATCAACTCAAGAAGGATACCCAATAAGACACTAAACAACTTGAAAGCTTGAAGTTGTGAGGTCTACAACAACTGCACCTCGTCATGAGCGTCATTCAATACGAGTCATAACTTCCAAACTGTGCTCAGAGATGGAAGAGAGACTGTTTCTATTCAAACACACTATAAAACTTTATGTACAATGATGAAGCATGGGCCAATGTTTTTGGAGACTGTGTGGTTGCCGATGGTGACCTATTGCCTGAGCAAACAATTGCATTGATAACTATTGTCACCCACCAGAAAACCATTATGATGCATTGCATGGCGAATCACTTTGCAACATCACTATGGCAAGCTGGCAACACACTTCCAAAAGGTGCCTATGGTGACAATTGCCATAGCAACCATCTCATAAGAACAGCCATAGCAGGCCGTTGCTATGGAAATTGCTACGCGACTACCGGGCAACCATCACAATGGCAACTGTATAAAAACAAACTCCATAAAAGAATTTGCAAGTCATTTCCATTGAAACAAGATCCACCAATTGTCTGCCAATAGCAACCATCCAGTCATGGTTACAGTGGTTTATGTTGCTATACCCCTCTGCAAAATCTCGCACACAGCACTCAATTACATATACTTGTAATTATCGTCCATTTGACAAAAAAAATCAGAGTCGCAGGGAAAATTCTCTTGCTCCTCGAGGTCCGGGCCTGGAAATGTGCTTATAATTGCCCAACATTAAACTGTTGGCAGTAAAGTAGGTTTGCGCCTCCTCAGACTCAGACACCTAAAACAACCAGGAAATCTTATTTTAGTGCATTGCACCCTGGAATCTTTGCAGATCAAATCAATGCTTATCCTGGACACGTCAGCGGCCAAAGAGGAAGTTTGATCAATCTCTTCAGTGCAGTTTCTATTGTCCATGTTTTCTGTGACAACTGATCAGGTGCACGGATTGATTGGATTAGATTGACAGTGCAATCTGTCTGTTAGAGAACATGTTTACACATTAAAGTCAATGTATATATGTGGTGTGGTGTATAATTTTTATATTATATATATAGTATATATAATATTATACTCACACACATAATATAACATTGACTTTAATGTTAAACATGTTCTCCTAACAGCACAGATTGCAACGTCAAATCTAATCCATCAATCCTCGCACCTAATTCAGTGTCACAGAAAACATACGATAGAAACTGCACTAAGAGATTGATCAAACTTCCTCTTTGGCCGCTGACGTGTCAGATAAAGCCATGATTTGATCTGCAAAGACATCCCACCGTGCAATGCCTAAAACAAACGATTTCCTGTTGTGTTCTAGCTCGTCTGAGTCTGAGGCGGCAGCAATCCCCTACCTTTTACTGCCACAGTTTAATGTTGGGCAATTATAAGCAAATTTCCAGCCCGGACCTCGAGAGAATTTTCCCTGACATCTGATTTTTTTTGTTCCAAATGGACATAATTACAAATAATGTATTGAGGCGTGCGAAGATTTGCGGGGGTATAGCAACATAACACTGTAACCATGCTGATGGTTCTAATGGAGAACAATCTGGTGGATCTTGTTTCAATGAAATGACTTCAAATTCTTTATGGAAGTTTGTTTTATACAGTTGCCATTGTAGGGTTGCCAGGGAGTCGCCGTAGCAATTCCCATAGCAACGGCTGCTATGGCTGTTCTTAATGAAGTGTTACACCCCCCCCCCCCCCCACCCCCCTGCTACACAACACCCCCCCCCCCCGCTAATGGCAATTGTCACCATGCACCACTTTTTGAAGTGTGTTTCCAGCTGCCATAGTGATGGTTGCCAAAGTGAATTGCCATAAGCAATGCATCATAACATGGTTGTCATGGTGACAATCGTCACAATGGCAATTGGTTCTCTGGCAATAGTCACCATGGCAACCCACACATCTCCAAAAACATTGGCCCCCCTGCTTCATCATTGTACATATAGATTTTATATGTCTGATGGAATAGAACATCTCCTCTCCAATCTAGCCACAGTTTGGAAGTTATGACTCTTATTGAACTGACGCGTCATGACGATGTGCAGTTTGTTGAAGACCTCACAAATTCATCGCTTTTCAAGTTGTTTAGTGCATCATATCTGGTGTATCCTTCTGAGTGATACATGAAGGATAAACCATGTTCTGACATGCAGAGGACAGTGGGACAGATGGTGTGGTTGTGTTTGCAAGGAGGGGATGATCTCGGTCAAAGACGTGGATCTGGTGATGTCAGAGGACTGGGCCATGCGCTACGCTTCATCGGCCCAATGAAACCGTGCACCTGAACAGCACCACAAGGTAACAACAGATGTTCTCTAATCCATTATTGACTGTTAAACGATAAGTCTGGAACTCAAAATGAATTACACATTTTAAGAATTGGTATTAATTGACCTCAGGGCCATAAATATTGATACAAAACAACTCATTTTATGAATTCTAATATTAAGGTAATCCCGCATTCCCTTCTCTTAGCTATAGCTCAAAATCCATGATTGCCGTCCACGTTAACCACCAGTGATGCCAAGGCTGGTCCAATCAACGGCGCTGATGCACGAGCTGCGCATGCCTCAGTTGTTTGTTTTCCACGTAGCCTCCGAATCAAGCCTTTATAGCTCTGGAACTACATGAAAACTGAACAAAAATTCTGAACATCCGCGCTGAGTTACCCATTTGATATACTGAACCCATATCCATTAATCATTTATATACTGAACCATATCCATAATCATTTATATACGGAACCTATATGAGTGGTGTTCACAGTAAAAGTACACAGTATCTGGACTTTAAAAGTATAACTTTAAAAACTAAATTATTTCGAAGATGGAAAAAAGATTTTCAAACACCGACACATTGAAGAAATAGTGTGGAAAAAAATCAAAAGGAAAGATTGACATAAAAATGTTTAGCAACTTTAAACGACCAAGATAGCCTCCTGAATGGACCATTCTACTGTGACGCCAGTTACATAGAAAATAAAAATGCCTCAGTCTGAAAAAGCAGACGATGAAATCCCACAATATTTACATGGCTAACACAACATAATAATCACTTGATTATAAAAAGGAATACGTGAAAAAATAAAAAATATTTAATTAATTAAATGACCCGCTGAAATATGTAACGGACCGATGAGGACGGTCCTCTTTTAACGCTAAAACATTAAACTTGAGAAGAAATAAAAATCTGGTCTGTTTTCAACATTTAATTGGTTGACAATTGAAGTATCACTTTCATTTACTGTGTGTAAAAAAAAAGAATCTCTGAATCAAATGTGGACATCTGAAAATACCTTCAAACTTCCACAAAGCTCATTCCGTCAAATCATCACGTCCGTTAACATAATAATAAACAGCGCTATAGGAAAATTGTCTAATGTATAAACAGTTAATGTATCCAAAACGTCTAATGACAGAGGAGTGTTTGGAAACACAAAAATACATAAATACTTCTGATTATTAAAATCCAATTTTGCCTTTTGTCACACTTTTGTGCCCTTAGTGTGAACAAGCCCACATCCCATAATCATTTAGATACTGAACCTATATCCATAATCATTTATATACTGAACTATATCCATAATCATTTATATACCTGAACCTATAGCCAAATCATTTAAACTGAACCTATATCCTACATCATTTATATACTAACCCATATCCATAATCATTTTATAAACTGAACCCATATCCATAAATCATTTAATACTAACCTATATCCATAATCATTTATATACTGAAACCCATATCCATAATCAGATCCTCTGCAGAGTTCCTATAGGGTTCAATCAACGTAATAAGCACTTCCAGGTTTCAGCGATCGCTTTTTTTCATGCATTAAAAAAATATATTTGTCATCGAAAACGTTTAACACAATACTTCTGAAAACCTGCGTGCAAAGTGTATTAATACTGTATATGTATATAAGTGATTTCTCAATAACGATAAATATGTTACGGAAACGTAGAGCATAGACCAATCAGAAAGGAAGGGGGAGGGAGCTTGGGTCGTTTTTTTCAAATCCGTACCTCAGCTTCTCTTTTTTCTGACAAACCCAGACAATCACTTTAAAGATAAGCCATTGGTCCATGAGGGGCAGATGACCAATGTCCATAAAATGTTGTTGAATGTGGAGTGTCCTAGATCCACCCCCACGTTCAAAGACCCTCCTGCAATTTAACTCCAACTTAGATAATGGACAAAAGCTGTAAAGTGGACCGACACAGAACTCCCAGACTCTGCGGTGGGAGAGGCTCAGAGAACAGAAAGCAGAGCAATCAAGCCCATCCTCAGGCAGAGACATGGAGAAAATCTAAGAGGGGTGCGAAGCCTTGCCCCCTCGTGTCCACTCAACTCACAAAGGCGCTTTTGATGCGCATGAAAAGACCGCAGTCAGGCGTTAATGCTACACCGCGGGCGCTGCTCTGCGCGCTGTAACCCAGGGAGGCACGGCTTCTACAGAGCTGCATTAAGAGCTCCATCAGAGAAGCTCCATCAGTCCCTGGCTCTACCCCTGCTCCATGTTCACCCAGCAGAGCATCTGTCCTTGGCCAGCAGCCCACATCTGAGGTTTCACCACAGCAGAGAGCTCTTCAACCGATCCAACACCGGTCACTGAAAATAGGGCCTTAAATGTCAATGAGGATTTTTACTGCAAAGGCAAATACAATGAATCCGATCTGATCTTGGAAAAAGTAAGTTGTCCCGTAATAGATGGATAGATTAGTTGATGTTACTCTTTGGATAAATGCAGTGCCCTCAGCAAAAACACACCCATCCGTCACAAAAAACATAATTCTACAAGTAGCTAAAAGTAGTACTATAATGCAACAGCACTTTAGTCACAGCAACAAGGTGGTGTACCGCTGGGGAGGAGGCAGCTTCCTCTCCTCTGATAGACCCATCGCTGGTTTAGATGTGAGCCGTATAAAGAGTGGTTCATGATCCATCATTTATGTTGATTTAGGCCCTGAATTTCATAATAATAACAAAAAATGCATCACTTTACGCAAATACTCCTTCAACACTCAAATTGCTTCACATGACAGTTGCAGGTGTCCACCAGCAGTATTCTTTCACTCCAAACGCGGTGGTGATAAACTACTAACAGTAGCCCACTGCTGCCCGGGGCGCACTGACGGAGCAAGGCAACCAGTCTTGTGCCATCAGCCCCTCCACCACCACAAACCATTCACACACTCCTAGACTCATTCTAATTTGGGTGAAGTTGTTGCCTAAGGACATTAACAGCATTGGCACTGACAGCCCCCCACTGGTGGCACCTGTGGTTCCAGAGGCGCCCATCACAGAACTAACCCAGGGCCCTGCCCTGCTTAGCTTTCAAAGTCTCAGCAGCAGTAGCGTAGTAGTAGTAGCAGCATACAGCAGTAACATAAGTGTAATAGTAGCATAGTAGCAGCACAGCAGTAGATAGTAGAAGCAGCAGCACAGCAGCAGCAGCGCAGTACAGTAGAAGTAGTAGTAGCAGCAGCAGTAAGCAGCAGCACAGCATAGCAGCAGTGAAGTAGAACAGTGGATATCTCTCATGTGCCATGTGATGCAGAGTGGAACATACATGGAATTTCTGTCACTGGTCCTTACTCAACAGACTGTAAACACCAGTCAGCGATGTAGCGCGTACGCCACACCACACACATATGGACTTGCTCACCAGACATCCACACACACTCCTACACACACACATAATATAACTTGGCTCACACACATCCACACAGACATGCATGTAGATTAAGCCCCTTCATAATTAGTTTGAACAGTCCACTAAGTTATTCGATATTGGTAAGTCATCATTTATTTATATAGCGCCTTTCCAACCCGAGTCACAAACGCTTGACAATTTGTTGTGGGTGTTTTTCTCTCACTCCACACAGAGATGGAGCAGTCGTCTACAGGAGGCACATCCAGACCGTCGTACATGTTTTAGTAGTAGGGGAAACGTACACAAGACAAGGGAGAACATTGCAAACTCCACTATACGAGAGCAGATCGACTGAAGACTCCCATTCTGCAGGACTCATCTGTATGTCTAATTGTGCCAATAAAGAACCTGCTCCGTTTTATGAAAGTGTAACCAAGTCTGGTTTTTGGCCTCTTGTGTTCCTCACGCCACTGGTGGTACTTCAGACCTCAGACCACCAGAGGTCCACAAAGAGGTTATAATTGTGTAAAAAGGGTTGCAATAGCAGTCTTTCACTTGTTATGGTCTCACACGTCATCACATTACTTTTGGTACTTCTAACTTTTATATCAGGGCAATTTACAGAGCACCAGCCCCACGGATCCACCTGCAGGTTGGAGAGTCCACAGTACACATCAAAGCCTTGATCTTTCAGGGGAGCTTCAGGTAAAGTGGGGTTAGTGTCGCGCCCATGGACACAACATAGTCAATAGGGAGTCGTGAGAAGGTTTCATGTGGGCTCGAGCCTACAACCTTCACCTCAAAGGCGCCAATGCACTACCAACTGAGCCACTGTCAGCCATTATACTTTACCATCACATCAACAAAGCTTACCCACTTCTAGCTTTCTTTTCGACATAGCTATTCCATATACAATTGACGTATAAAATACTACTAGAACTTGTAAAAATTTTAAACATGAATTTTCATGTATATTTTATTCAGTATTCAAACTGTTTTGTTGTGTTGACTTCATTGCAATTTATACATTTCAACCAGTCCCTTAACTTTTATGAATATTTGTAGTCTTGTATTCTTTTCCCTAGGTCACCAACAGGATTATAGGACGTGTTTGCACTTGTTGGTGCCCCTGAATGTAGCCGTGGGGGGGGAAGAGCTAAAAAACCACTGCAGAGCGATTCATGAAGTAAAATGTGTGTCAAAACGTCTGCAGAGAACGATGAGGAAAGCAGTTTCTGTGAGTGGCGGTGATCAGCCCACGGAAAACCCCTAGTGGACAGGAGCTCCAGTGAGCACTCGTCCAAACACAAAAATGCAAGAGTGTTTTTTGCTACTTTCACACTTCAGTAAGGAAGAATATTATTTACATAGCCACCATTGATTCCTTCTGAGGGAGTTTTGCATGTTCTCCCCCGTGGTCTGGTAAGTTTACTCCGGTGCTCCGTTTCCCCTACCACTAAAAATAATGTACCAATATCTGGCCATGCGCCTCCTTTCGGCGACACACCGCCTCCATCCTCTATGTGGAGTGAGAGGACAAGTGCCCAAAAAAATAACAATCTAAACCGCTTTGTGACTACTGGTCTGTGAAAGGCGGTAGATAATAAAGATTACTTACTGACATTAGCAACAGTCACTCAGTTGGTAAGCATTGGCCTTTGAGCTGAAGGTTGTAGGCTCGAGCCCACCATGAAACCTTCCTCGCACCGACTCCCCTGATATTGTGGGTCCATGAGGCGAGACACTTAACCCCACTTTACTGAACCCTCCTGAAAGATCAAGGCTTTGATGTTACTGTGGACTCCACCACTGCAGGAGAATCCGTGAGGCTGTGCTCGTAAATTGCCCTGATATAAAAGAAGAAGTAACCCAAAGTAATGTGAGGACGTGTGAAGACCATACAAGTGAAGAACGCTTATTGCACCCTTTTACACAATTATTTACTATTTTGTGGACCTCTGGTGTCCAGAGGTCTGAAGACCCACCAGAGGCTGAGGACCCACAAGAGGCCAAATCCAGACTTGTACACTTTTCAAAAAACGGAGCATGATCTTTATTGGCACCAAATAGACAAACACCAATTGACGTCCCTGCAATGTGGATCTTCAGTCGATCTGCTCTCTATATGGAGTTTGCATGTTCACCTGTGTCTGTGTAAACGTTTCCCCTACTACTAAAACATGTACAGAAGGTCTGGCATGTGCCTCCTGTAGACGACCTGCTCCCATCACTGTGTGGAGGAGAGACAACACTCCACAAACAAATTGTAAAGCGCTTAGTGACCACAGGTCTGGAAAGGCGCTATATAAAATAATGATGACTTACAATATCAATCAACTTTAGTGACTGTTCAAACTAATAGAAGGGGCTTAACCTAAAATCATGTCTGTGTGGATTGTGTGTGAGGCAAGTCTAATATGTATGTGTGTGTGTAGGAGTGTGTGTGGAGTGCGTGGAGCAAAGTCCATACTGTGTGTGTGTGTGCGACGCGCTCCCATCAGCTGACTGGTGTTTACAGTCCTGTTGGTACAGACCAGTGACAGAAATACCATGTATGTTCCTCTCTGCACTCACATGGCCCATGAGAATAGCCACATGTTTCTACTACCACCTGCGCTACCTGCGGGCTGCTGGCTGCAACTGCTGCCTGCACTCACTACTTCTTACGCTACTGCGACGCTGCTTGCTCTAGCTGCTTCTACTACTACTGAACTGCTGCTGCTGCTACTACTGCTACTATTACCACCACTGTTACTGCTGCTACAGCAGCTCCAACCTACTACTGCTACTGCTGCAGGATCCTTGAAGCTAAGCAGGGCAGGGCCTGGTTAGAACTGTGATGGTAGACCTCTGGGAACACCAGGTGCCAACAGATGGGCGGCTGTAAAGTCCAAACTGCTGTTAAGTCCTTAGGCAACACACTCACACCAAAGTTAGAATGAGTCTAGAGTGTGTGAATGGTTGGTGGGTGGTGGGAGGGGCGGATGGACACAGCGACGGTCCTTGCCTCCGTCAGTGCGCCCTGGCAAGCAGTGGCTACAGTATAGTTTATTATCACCACCGCGTTGGAGTGAAAGAATACTGCTGTGGGAACACCAGCAATGTCATAGTGTAAGCAACTTTGTGTGACTGAAAGGAGCTATTTAAAAGTGATGCATTTTTGTTATAAATTATGAAACCAGGCTAAATCAACATAAAGCGAGGGATCAAATAACCACCTTTATAACGGCCATCACATCTAAACCAAGCGATGGTCTAACAGAGGAGAGGAAGCAAGCCGCCTCCCCAGCGGCTACACCCACCCTGCTGCTGTGCCTAAAGTGCTGTTGCATTATATTACTACTTTTAGCTACATGTAAATTATGTTTTTTTGTACGGATGGGTGTGTTTCTGCTGAGGCACCTGCATTTATCCAAATAGTAACAATAAACTATCTATCCATCTATTACGGACAAACTTACTTTCAAGCATCAGATCGGATTCATTGTATTATTGCCATTTGCAGTAACACCACATTGACATTTAAGCCTTATTTTCATGACACGTGTGGATCCTGTTGAAGAGCCTCTCAGCTGCTGTGAAACCTCAGACTGGACTGGCACAAAGACAGTTGCTCTGCTGTGTGAACATGGAGCAGGCAGAGCCAGGACTTATTGAGCTCTCTGATGAGCTCTCTAATGCAGCTCTGTAAGCCGAGCCTCCTGGGTACAAGCGCGCAAGCAGCAGCGCCCGCGGTGGCATCTCGCCCTGAACATGCGGACTTTTCACGTGCGCATCCCAAAAGCCGCCTTGTGTGTGAGTGGACAGAGGGGGCAAGGCTTCCACCCCTCTTAGATATTATCCATGTATCCTGCCTGAGAGTGGGCTTGATCTGCTCAGGCTTCTGTCTCTGAGCCTCTCCCACCCGCAGAGTCTGGGAGATCTGTGTCGGTCCACTTTACAGCTTTTGTCCATATACAGTTGGAGTTAATTGCAGAGGTCCTATGAACATGGGGTGATCTAGGACACCCCCCCTCCCCCCCCCCCCCCACATTCAACAACATTTATGGACATTGTCATCTGCCCTCATGGACCAATGGCACATCGTTAAAGTGATTGTCTGGATTTGTCAGAAAAAAGAGAGCGAGTACAGGATTTGAAAAAAACGACCCAAGCTCCCTCCCCTTCCTTTCTGATTGTCTATGCCTACGTTTCCGTAACATATTTAAACGTTAATCTGAGACAGCTTATAACATATACATTATTAATACACATGCACGCAGGTTTTCCAGAGTAAGTTGTTAACGTTTTCATGACATTAAAATTTTAAATGCATGAAACAAAGCGATCGCTGGAACAACCCGGAATGCTATTAAGCACGTTGATTGAACATTATAGGAACAAACTCAGAGATCTGATGAGGGATATGGGTTCAGTATATAAATATTATGGATAATAGTTTCAGTATAAATATTATGATATGGGTTCAGTATATAACATATTATGGATATGGTCAGTATATAAATGAGTATGGATAAGTTCAGTATATAAATGATATGGATATAGTTCGTATATAAATGAATTATATATAGTTCATATATAAATGATTATGGATATAAGGTTCATATATAATGATTATGGATGTGTGGGCTTGAGTTCACACTAAAGGGCACAAAGTTGTGACAAAAGGCCAAAAATTGGATTTTAATAATCAGAAGATATTTTATGTTTTTTTCGTGTTTCCAAACACGCTCCTCTGCCATTAGACTTTCTGGAACATAACTGTTTTATACCTTAGACAGTTTTCCTATAGCGGCCCCCTGTTTAATTTATGTAACGGACGTGAGATTTGACGGAAATGAGTTTTTTTTTTTTTTTCTTATGTGGAAGTTGATAGTTTTTTCAGATGTCCACGATTATTCGCGATTCATATTTTTTTACTACAAAGTAAATGCAAAGTGATAACTTTCATATTGTCAACCAATTAAAAATGGAAAAACAGACCCAGATTTTTTTTTCCTTCTCAAGTTTAATGTTTAGAGGAAAAAGCGGACCGTCCTCAGCACGTCCGTTATACATTGTTAAGGGGTCATTAATTAATAAATATTTTTATTTTTTCCAACGATTCCTGTTTATAACCAGAAAAGCGCTATCAGGACCTAAAATTAAGTATATCACCAGCCCTACAAGCTCTGCAGCCAAGGCACTGTGCAGAGCTTGATCTACAACTCGTTCTAGAAGTACTGTGTAGACCGCACCGAGAGCATAAATTGAAAGCAACATCATCCACCACCGATTAGTGTTAATCGGTAGTGGCAGATGAGCCAGAAACGCCAATACTATCTGGGTGTGAATGGGACTGATGCATAAATACATCAATCTCACCACTCCCGTTCCTATGACTAACGCGGAGGTCACTGCCACCTTAATCCAGCCTACATTCTTCTCTCTAGGTAACAAAGTCAGAAGGAGGATTAGAATTCCCAGGGAAATTAGCTGCCATGATTCAGTCATAATTACCGAGGATGTACAGCTAAGTCCCAGGGTGAAGTTGGTGAAGCCAGCCATGGTTCTTGGAGCCGTCCTTGGATGAAGAGATTGGTACAGTGCGGCAGGTGGTTTCTTCCAGAGAAGAATGACCAACCCCTCTCGCGTCCCTTCTCTTATACCCACGAACAGGCTCCTCCCACCATCGGTGGCATCGCCCCCTCCTCCTCCTTGACCGCTAATTTCCTTATAAGGTTAACCGCTATTCCGGCGACCAGCATTGTCATAACTAATCCTAAGATAATGGTTTTATACATCCTGATCCTATCTATATTGAAATGCGACTCATCCGACTTCGTGTGCAGTTCTCCCGAGTAGTCTCCTGGGAGGCCGACCATCTGGACCGAATCTTTCCATGTCCCTTCTTTGTTCATGTAGCGTGTCCAAACGACCCGCCATCTTCCCGGTCCTGCTTTGTGATCTTCCCGCTGGAGAACGCATTCCTCATTCGCGCCTGCCAGACAGCAATTTCTGGTAATTGAAACCAGGACCCAGTAGGACATCCTCCTCAAAGATTCTCCTCTGCACACCGTTCCGTTAATTACAGATTCTCTGCGTTCATAGCTTTCAGTCTCATAATCGATAATCCCATATACAACTACTATGAGTAATGTAGCTGAAAGCACAATCAAATTCTTGTTGTCCCCGGTAGTTGGCTTCTTCACTCCTCTTTCCTTTGTCCCTGCAGTTGATTTCTTCATATTCAAACCTGCAGCAAAGGGTTTTTGTTACTCATGATATTTCTTCTTTGCTTCAATGTCTCTTTTCCTCTTTTTGTTTTCTTCTCTTTCTTTTTCTCTAGTATCTCTTCTCTCAACTCTTTAATTGTCTCTTTTAGGAGTCTGTCTTCTCTTCGCTGCCTTGCTTTCTTATAGGCCCGAAAGGGAAGCCAACAACACCTGAAGATATTGCAGGTTTTCTGTAGTATCCCTATTATTATCAATGTGACTATAACTACAACTATGCCTACGATCCAACGCCATGCATAGCTGAGCCAATCTATCAGCCACTCCCATACTCCCAAGATGGCCCGACCGACTGTCTTAGCTGTTGTGACCACAGCTGTGGCCACCTCTGTAGCCACTCCATTTATCACGGTCCCTGTGGCAAATGTCGTTAGGATGGCTATTCCTTTTACTTGATTTCCTAATGTCCAGAACGGTGAAGTAATCATGGTATAATCACACTCGTGTAGCTTATAGAATTCGCCTTCGGATTTATATTCTGTTCCATTTCCACCGGACGTTTGTAGATGATTACATGGTATCCTTTTGTCTATATGGAAGGGATCTTCTCGGTGCACCTGGAGATGGGCATGCCACCTCCAATGCCCAGTCATTATACCCCAGTCTTCATGTCCCCGCAGCACTCGGGGAGCCATTCTATCTCTGATACAAACGTGTTGGGCGATATACTTCATTCTGTGGTACATCAGAGTCCCAGGATCAACTCCCTGAAGGTGTCCCACTGGTGCTGAATGATACGGCCAGTGAGCCACTCGATAATGTATTAACGGGTTCACACAGTTCTGTTCTCTGTTGATCAGGAGTTGTATTGCTGATGCGATGGCGCTTGTGTCATTCACGAACTGTTGCTTTGTTTCCGCTATCGTAGTCCAGCCTTCGGCGGCCCAATTCTTTCGGTCAAGGGAGTGTATTTGCTCCCAATCGCTCATGTTTTTGTCTGGTATAAGCAGAGCTATAGGTTCACCATTTTTGCTCAAACTTCTTTCGTTATCGAATGTCAGGATTCTTTCCCTGAATTCTCTCTTTCCATCTCTTTCCTTCCATCTTAATTGTCTCCATTGGTCATCTGGTTGTACGGGGATTTTTCGAACGGCTATGTATTTCCTGGCCACCGTGACATGCATGGATCTCTCTGTTGTCCAGAGCACTGCCATATGGTGGGGAAAGGGCGACTGCATAGCTGACCTCCATTTCCAACCTTGATCCTTGACTAATCTTTTGATGGTGTGCAGTCTATCTGGATGTAGGTACAGCGTTTTGTCCCACAGCTCCGATCCTTCAGTGTATGTGTCCAGGTTTCGCTGGTCCTTCTTGTGTTCCTCGTCAGGTGAAAGCATATGGGTTGTAACTACGGCTGCTTCTCTTGATAGCCATCCAGCGATTTGTATGGCTCCGGGATGTTTTTTAGTATCTGGATGTGGTCTCTCTACCCTCTGGAGGAATCTTTGATATGCCCAGGACATAGGGGTTTTCCTCATCTTGATTTGGGTCTCACAGGGAAACGCCCCGCATGGGCTGCCGGTATATGATGGTACCATTTTCCTAATTTCTCCGAATTGTATTCTGGTGAGCCAAGGCCATGGAAACCAGCTTGTCTTCCATGAGCCTTCCCAGCTACTCATTTTTGCTGTTTCTCTAATCTGACCCGGTAGGAATTGTTTGTTGAATCCTTCACCCCAGTCCGTCATGTTCTCTTCGAGTATGGTGTCCGTGAAGGACCATGATGAAAGGTTAAGGTCCCAGAACATGGTTTGAATTTCTGCTGGGTCTGGTACATGCCACTTATTTTTAACTTCTTCTAATCCATGGTCATGCGATGTCCAGTCCGGAATGGCCATCAATGTGTGCACATATCTTGTTTGGTCCGGTAAGGAGTGGTCCGTTATCATAACGTGTGGAATTACTAAGGTGCTCAGGGTTTCTGAATCAAAGCTGTCCGCTGCAGCCGTTAGTCCCGATGTGAGTCCTGACAGCTGGAACCACATCCACGCATCCATAAATGTTGTTTCATCCTTCATTGTTTCTTCTCTTATTGACCTTTGATTTGGGTTTTCTTCATTAGCCTCCAGAAAGTCCGGCAGATAATTACTACATCGGTACATTGCATCATCCCATTCTGGAGTTCTGAAGGGATAAGTGAACCAGCATTTCTTGGTTTTGGGATCCCGTTCACATTTATCAGTTTCGTTGAGTACACTTCCTCCAGGAGATCGTGGCAGCTGGTTAATGAGCTGCTGGATATGTTGTACTTGTTTCAGTTCTTCGTAATCCAATTCATCTGCCATACAGTTCATTGCCTTCTTCCACCACCTTCCAGTCTCTTTGTTATTTATCCATTGTTGGTACATTTCTTTTGATGCCATTGGGAGGGCAATGCCGACGGTGGTTCGATAGCACACTCCGAAGGGATCATCCCGGGGAAATTTTCTCATTCCTGCATCATCATTATCTGCGTCCATAAACGCCATCTGTCCCGATTTTGTCCAGATTAGTCTTCGCTGTACTTTTGGGAATTGGGCCAGAAATTGCTCAAGATCGGGTCCTTCACTTGGTTCCCTATTTATATTAATTCTTTTTGTTCTGAGCACGTATAATTGCCATTTCCAGTACACTCCTTGTAGTCCATCATCGGCACTATAGCACTCTGACTTTGGATCAGAGCAGTCTGATATCTTCTCCCAGTCTTCCTTTTTCAGTATCGGGACTCTGGGTACCTCCATGTGAAGACCTGAGATGGTCCTTGTTCTCCATTGTGGATGTAATGCTGGGTATGACGTCCATCTATCAACGTGGCAGTCCTGGCATTTTGTCGAGGACCACGGGGTGCGGGTTCCATTCTTGTTTATCCCCCAGCATTTATATGTTTTAGCTATATTGTCCAGATACAGAGTGCAATTTTCGCCATTGGTTGAGAACGGTGAGGACGCCATTCCTGTGCCTCTTTCCGCATCAATTTCTATAGATATATGCTGGCACGGGGTAAGTATGCCTACGTCTAGTAATTTTTCTCTGATGAACTTCATCTGCCTGCTTAGATTGTTTAGATTGTTGAGAGTGCATCTTCCCACATGCTTTTCCGCTTCTGTGGTTTCCACCGATCTCTTCCAGCGGTTTCTTGTCACGGTGGTTTTCTCCTGGTTCTTCTCCCACCATGATTGTTCTAATTCCTCCTGGCTTGTTACTGCCAGTAGTTCTTGTTTGGCAATATGATAGGGTAGTTTCTTCTTTGGGGAATTCTCCTGTTGTTCTCCAGGTTTCATGATTTGTCCAGTTCTCAAACGTCTTCCAATCTTTTTCGTTGATATATTTTCTTACTGGAATGTTCAGTACTGTTCTTTCGTCGACTTTGTGGCATGTTTTATGCAGGCTGTATAACGGTTCCTGCATCTCCCATCCTTCTCGAATTTCTTGGTGCAGTGCTGTATATATGCAGTCTTTTATACCCGTCTCGTACATCAATCCTGTGAGATCAAGACTCCATGCTTCTTCTCTTAGCAGCACTTTAGTCACTTGAAAGGACGATCCGTCCGTTCCAAACTTTTTCTCATAGGATTCCCACGTGGACAAGTGAGCCTCGGAGTATCCAAGGTGCGCTGCTCGACAGGCCTGTCGATATGCTTCTTCGGACATTTCTTTTAGAACTTCCATCATGGATCTTTCACAGCAGGGGCCCTTGAAGGGGATCCATTTGATGGTGCAGTTATCGACCTCCGGCGCAGGAAACTCCAGGTTACATGTATCTTGTGTTCCCGGCGTCTTCTTTTCTCGTGCTCCTGGAAGGTCTTCTGTTGTTGCGTTCATTTTTTCTTTTTCTTTTTGATCTTGGGCTGCCTCTCCTAACCATACTTGTGGATTGCAGGTCCCTCTGATTCCTATTCTTATCACTAGAAATCGTATTGCTCCTAGAATGTATTTTCCTTGGTCGAAGGCCAAAGCCTCCCCTGTTCCTATTGGTATGGGATATCCTGGTTCTATGTGTGGGGTTATTATTGTGCAATTTTTACATTTTATGATTTTTTGTCTCCAGGTTGCCCTTTCTGCCCCCGTATCGGGTATTTTACTTATCACATGGATAAGGGCAGAGAGTAATGCTATTATTATTATTGCTATTATAACTCTAATTATGGTACTAGGTTTCCTAAGCTGTTTCAGTTCTTTCTTGAATTTTTGTTTGTATTTTCTCCTCTTTATATCTTTCCTAATTATTTCCATTGCATCTCCTCCTAGGGTATCTTCAGCAATGTCTGCTTGTGCCAGTGATAACCTAGCTTGGTTGTGGTACCATTTCTTGTACCACCATCTATTGATTTTTTCTACGGCAGACAATCCCATAGCTTTTCCTGGAAGGAAGGAGCAGAACATTAATTCATGTTACATTCCCCCTCTGCTCCTTGCTTCCCCCTATCTCCTAAACTCGATACGCCTAGTTGTGATGACTCTTTTTCCACCATGCCGACTTGCTGACCCTTGGGCCTACTTCGAGGGCATCGCTATTCTCGGTATTAATCAGATTTCCTCTAATCCAGAGTTTGACCCCTACAGCTATCAGGTTCATTCCTAACTCTGCTCCACTCATCCATTTATCAATGTATTGAGCACGGTCCAATGATGCCAGAGACAGCATCTCCACTGCACAGTGCAGCAACTCTGGACCCGTCGGGGTCTGTACATTACTAGACCTTCTCTTAATGGTTACGACCATAGGGGACAGTGGCTTCATCGTTCCTGTTGTGATCCAGTCGATCCAATCAGGCCTTACACTCGGTGGAGCCCAACTCATCACCCCATGTCTGTCCAGTCTCTTACTGTCACACGGGAGTTTAGCTGTCTTCTTAGCATACACTCCCATTGTGGCCAAAGACCATTTGAAAGTAAGAAACCTATTCCTCTTTCTAATTGGATGAGTTAGAGCAATCTGCAGGAAATTTAGTTTATCAAATGAATTAAATCTATTCCAGTGTCTGTGAGCCAGCAGGCCAGCCAGTTCCAGCCTGGGCGTCCCATTCGGGGAGCAGATCCGAAACCCACAGTACGGATCTGCCCGGCACCTGCAGGGATCCTCGTGAGAGTCCTGTCTGGTCGCGAGAGTTTGAGCTCCAAACTTCTCCCAGCATTGGGAGCAGAATGAGACTCTGCAGGCTCCAGCCAACTCGACTCCTTCATCCTTATCAGGTTCTTGATGATCACTTCTCAAATTCCTAAACCTTCTCTCACCCTCCCAGAGGAGGGTGAACACTTCAACGTGACAAAGGCAGCAGCCCCCCGGCCTGTAATCCCTCCAAGATGGTTCGGCACTCGGCGGTTGACCCGGGTAGATCACTCCTACCTTGTGCCGGCCAGATGGATGACATTTCAGGATTACCAGGCCCATGGTCAGGTAGGCCTGGTCCGGTTCGGCCTGGTGAGAACTGTTTGGGTCCTTTTTAGGGCCATCAGAAACTGATTTACCAGCTCTGATAACCTCTGAGGAACTATCGCTCCCCTGCTTCTCTACACCAAGTTGGGATCCCCATTTCAGCATTCTAGTTTTGACTGACTGAGGGGCCTCCGTCTGGGGCCCCTTGCTTGAATCGAATTTGTTTCGGATGGACTTTCCTGCCATCTTTTACTATAACCACGTTACCGGTTTGCTTTTTAATATCTAAAACTTCTCTCGCGTCCTTAGTCCACACCTGGTCGCCTTCCTGCAACACAGGCGGGAGCTCGTTAGTATTACGGTTTCTCGCACGCAATTTTGGCTGACTCACGTACATGTTTATCTGGTACAATTTGTGCGGCTTGCACCAGTCTTTCCCGTATATACTAATTGTCTTTCGCTGCTCTAACCGCGCGTTCAGCGACACCATTTGTGTTGGACTGATAAGGGATACTGAGGACATGCTTGATTCCTAGTTCTTCCAGAAAGGTTTCAAACTCCCCACCTGTGAACATAGTTGCATTATCTGACCTAATCGAAGTTATTGTGGGATTACCTTGTAAGTAAGATAACACACATTTCTCAGCCTCCTGCTGACTTTCTCTTTTTATAGGGTATACCCTTGTATTTCCACCTCCATTGTCGGCTATCACCAGGAATTTACTGTTATTTTTCCTTTTATTCGTCAAATGACCTACGTCCATGGACGCAGATATCCCCGGGTTGTCCTCTATATCTTCATCGGATTCAACTAGTTCGCGGCTACTACCTATTTTGTTAGCACCCGATGGGCTTTCCTCTTCTTCATCAGAGCTATCACTATCCTGGTCATCTTGGTCCCCGAATGCGGTCCAAGTGCTTCCTGAGCTCCCCGAATGCTCATTCAGTGGTACTATGCTAGGTATCTCCCCTCGAAGGCGGGGATACATGCTTGCGCGAATCGGCTCCCACGATCGTTCATCATTTCTCTCGCAATCCTCCATTGCAGGGGCCGTGGGAGCTGTTATTGCATTTACTATACTATTAGCTTCCTTCGCTATAGCTGACGCGGGCGTCAGCCCACTAAGTTCCTGTAGCTGTTTTGTAAGTTCTACAAGCTCATCGTTTTGCGCATGAGGGTAGGGCGGAGGATCAGACCCTCTTGGTATGTCCTCTAGCCCCACTGGATGAGTCCTCCTATCGTCCCCGGGGTCCCGCAGCTCATACGCGTCTTCAACGCTATCTAGGTTATACATGTCTGCAAGTCTATTGAGAGCGTCGTTGTATTTCTGCTCTGAATTTAGAATCCATATTATAGTTTTTCCCGTTCTAGGTAGCTTTGCTAGCCACTCAACCCCTGCTTGGGCCATGCACCCTTGTGCCATATCTACGGGGTATCGGTACTGCCCGTCACCCCATGTGGTCACAATTGCGTCCCTAGTTGTTAGTTTACCAAACGAGCGCCTTAGGATTCTTCTTAGCTTTTCTTCATTAAGCATTGGGAGTTGTTCATCATCATATGGGTTATAATACCCGTTCGCTAATTTAACTATATTACTATGACCAACTTCGTCCTGATGGACCGCGTCTATTGAGCAGAATCCCTCAGGCCAACCTCCCTCTGGTTTGGTTTGATGAACCATTTGCATTGTTTTGGGGAAATGGGTAGCAACCCATTTTGCCACTCCTGCCCCATCTCTACCTTGTGGGTTGCGTGGGTTAAACAGGGTAGCATCCCCGGTTACCATTGAATTTATAAATTGATGTCCCAGGTCACACCTTATCAGTTTCCAACTTCCTATTTGATGCATTTTAGGATTGAGCGTTCTTCCGCGGTGGGTTGATGTCAATTATGTCAGTCAGTCCGCCCGTAGACATTCTTCGGGCTTGGGTTTGCATGAAGCAGGGGAGTTCATCCGCCATAGTTATATCAGACTCGTTACTCTATCTAATTACTACGCAGATATGTTTTCAGAGATATTCTCAACCGTCCCCTAAGGCGATTACTACACGACACGGGCGTGGATTTTTAGGGATATTCTTACCGTCCCAGCGCAGTTAAAGGGATATTCTGACCGTCCCAGCGCAGTTAAAGGGATATTCTGACCGTCCCAGCGCAGTTAAAGGGATATTCTGACCGTCCCAGCGCAGTTAAAGGGATATTCTGACCGTCCCAGCGCAGTTAAAGAGATATTCTGACCGTCCCAGCGCAGTTAAAGGGATATTCTGACCGTCCCAGCGCAGTTAAAGGGATATTCTGACCGTCCCAGCGCAGTTAAAGGGATATTCTGACCGTCCCAGCGCAGTTAAAGGGATATTCTGACCGTCCCAGCGCAGTTAAAGGGATATTCTGACCGTCCCAGCGCAGTTAAAGGGATATTCTGACCGTCCCAGCGCAGTTAAAGGGATATTCTGACCGTCCCAGCGCAGTTAAAGGGATATTCTGACCGTCCCAGCGCAGTTAAAGGGATATTCTGACCGTCCCAGCGCAGTTAAAGGGATATTCTGACCGTCCCAGCGCAGTTAAAGGGATATTCTGACCGTCCCAGGCAGTTAAAGGGATATTCTGACCGTCCCAGCGCAGTTAAAGGGATATTCTGACCGTCCCAGGCAGTTAAAGGGATATTCTGACCGTCCCAGCGCAGTTAAAGGGATATTCTGACCGTCCCAGCGCAGTTAAAGGGATATTCTGACCGTCCCAGCGCAGTTAAAGGGATATTCTGACCGTCCCAGGCAGTTAAAGGGATATTCTGACCGTCCCAGCGCAGTTAAAGGGATATTCTAACCGTCCCAGCGCAGTTTTTCCCGGCGCAATGCGGGTAACTCTCTTATCCACTATTCCTGGATAAGGGAGGCAGGGCCAGAAATCCCCACTGGGTTACTGCGTCACACCTGCCAGTAACCGTATTTTGAGCTCAGATTGTTCAGTTAGGGTCCTCCTGTCCCCTGGCGCGGCTTGTATAGGTGACCGCCTATACGCCTTTTAGGTCACGGCACAGTGTATCCTACTCCTGGTTGATCAGGTCAGTTTCGGATAGGGCCGCTACTGTTAAGCCTGATAGGACAGAATTCTCCTCAACCGTTTCTGGTAGCCAATTTCACGCTTCCTCCCTGACCGGCGGTACTTACGGGCACACGTTACAAGGTTTTAAGTCCAATGCCAGCGGCTTATTCTGGTATCAGACTCGCTGCTCAGTGTTTCCTCGGACAACACTGTTTTCTATTTTCACGGATTCCTAATTCGCAACGCCTCCTCCCTGGCTTATAGCGCTTAGTCCAGTGTTTCCTCGGACAACACTGTTTTCTATTTTCACGGATTCCTAATTCGCAACGCTTTCTCCCTGGCTTATAGCGCTTACAGGCACACGCTGTATATTAAATTTTGGGTATTTCTTTTATTTTTATTTTTATTATATTCTTTAATTCGAGGGCAATCTTACCAAGGTACCAATGCGTTAACCTTACAGTATCATACCTGTCGGTGTGGATTGGATCTTAGTCATGTCCCTGTTCGGGCGCCATGTAATCGGAGCGAGTGAGGAACCAGCGTCTCTTCAGGATCTAACCCTCGGAGGCGCCTTTACCTTGCTCTATAACGCAGACTCCCTGGTAGGGCCTGGCTTTTGGTAGCGCTAGTCCCGACCTGCCTCGTGCTGGGTCTAAGGCTAGCTAAGTTTTTGTCCCTGCCTAACGTTTTTCCCCTTGGTGTGGCTAATCCGTAGAGAAGCAGAAGCTCTAGGTGCGATATACCAAAATCAGTCTACTTTTACTACTCACCTTTAGCCTAGGGCCGCCCTGCCCTGTCCAAGCGTTCTTCAAGGAAGGTTTTCAGAAAGTGTGAAGCGGAGTCGGCGAGCTGTCTTTCGTGAGTCGGGGCGACTCTTTTATTCAAAGCCAAGCAAGCAAATCATCAATCCAAGTTTACAGAGTTACAAAGGTCTCGCGCCACAAGTCTCTCTCACAAGGACCCCTGAATGAAAGCCTCCGGCTGCTCTCGTCTGCGCTGCGCGCTGCCCGACTGTCTGACTCTCTCGGAGTCTTCCTTTTTATAGCGCATGCAGCCTTCGAGCAGCGGAAAGCCCCCTTAGCATTAAGGATGACCTCATTCAGGAAGTACATGTACATATATGGGCAAGGAAGGAAATGCATATATGGTCATGGCAGGAAGGATGTACATATTTGGTCCTCCTGCTCGTATGAACTGTCCCCCAGTTATTTGAACTTTCCCCTAGATAGCACAGAGGCTGCGCAGAGAAATGAACTTTTACCCAGTTATTTGAACTTTCCTCCAGTTTAGCACCGAGGCTGCGCAGAGAAATGAACTTTTACCCAGTTATTTGAACTTTGGCCCAGTTCTTAAGCATATATGATCTTTCCTTGCCGTGAACTTTAACACACTTAAATGAACTTTAATCTAGTTAGCATAATGTTACATAAATCACCTTAAATCACATTACATTTTATTAAATCACATTACTGACCATCAAGATCACTATTTAACGCATTTTCCTTACGTTTCACACATGATTATAAAATGTTATTTTGTATTACATCACAAAATCATATTTTGTATTACAAATGGCTTCCTGTGAAAGTCCACCTTGGTTTGCCTCTGCTCTCTGTCAGGACTGTACTGGGTTACCCCGGTCCCTCTCGCTCTGTGCTGTCCTGAGCTGGCTGGCTCATTTTACAGCCTAGCCCACTGATGCAGCATAGTCAGCTTCCTCCACGCCGGCTTCTCCAAACCCATTAAACATTCATCGGATAGGGCCATGAGATCTGTCGCCATAACCTCAGTCGCTCTACTCTGAATTCATTTCATACATGCTATAGAATCACATCATAACTTGAGATTCTGTGGGAGTGGAGGCTCTACAAAGTGCGGATCGTCTGTCGATGACAATGTATTTTTCTAAAGAGGTGTATCAGGCTCCTTATTCTCTTTATAGTCTCTATGTTAGATATATATTAAGAAACAAAGTTATGCTAAAATTTCACATTCACCACTATGGCATTTCTCAAAACAGAGAATGTATGTTTTTAAAAGTTCAACTATAACAACAAAGTGTGGCTGTAAGATGAAATGCCATCGAAACAAAGGAAGGGCAAGGCACCTTTTTCCGGTCGAACCCGTGGCTGCTCCATGGACTTTCCAAACTCCTTCATGTCCCGGGTTTTATTCTTTTGCAACAGCCCTGGCAGCGGCATGATTGGCTTTGTGGTACTGGACTGCTGCCTCAGGAGTCCCACAATCCATCATGGCTTGTTAGGACTCCTTTTTCAGCCTGACAGCATCCCTGGGGTTGCCGCCGGGACTAGCACCAGAGACCTGGTTCGCTTGGGTCTGCCAGGTCTGACCAGCTTCCTCCCCTGCCAGTGGATCCAACTCACAACCAGGTGGTGCTCGACCACTCGGAGGCGGCGGGACGCGACCCTCTCAACTCCAACACTGAGATGGGGGGGCCATGAGTATGGCTGCCGCCTCTCCCCATGTGAAATGCCCAAAAAGTGGAACATCCAACCCCTCTTAAGGTGTTGGGCTCTAGAGCCCAAGCTGTGTGTGGAGGTGAGGTTGACTTTCTCTAGTCGGTATCTCTCACCCTCCCCCACGAGCTCAGGCTCCTTCCCCCCCAAAGTGAGGTGACGTTCCATGTTCCAGATGCTGTGTGAGCGGACCGGGTTGTCAGGGTCTCCATCTTTGACTACTTCCCAGTCCACTCTGAACCATACCGCCATGGATTGCCCACGTCGTCCATGCGTATGAACCCCAACCCCATCCACGAGTGTGCCAAAATACCTATATTGTGCTATTTTCTCTCACAATCAATATTTGATATCTTAATTACATTAATCAATATAATTCATCTCTTACTATCTGTAATTGTGTTACTGGTAAAAGTAACTAATTACCAGCCAAAGTATTTAGGGTTTACTTTTTCCATTATTACTAACACTGTTTACAATATTTAGATGAATAGTAGTCAGTCAGAATGTAATTTTATTTTAACAAATTGTGGATAATTCCTTTGACGTGTTAAGGGGCGTTCACACCGGACTTAACTTCGGCGTCAAAAGCGTCAGGTTTCCATTGAAAGTGAATGGTGAAGCGCGTCAGGTGAAGCCGAGAGCCCCGGCGTCACTTGACGCGCGTCAAAAGCTTCAAGAGTCGCGCGTACTACGCGCTCACTTGAAGCTTTTGACGCGCGAAACGCTCGCGTATCACAACAATCCCCCTTTGACGCCGAAG